TCCCTGGGTCGGGCAATGGCCTGACCGACTTTTGTTTTGCAGGCACACGGCTTGAACGAGGCCTAGGTCAAGGGCTACCATCCCCTTTCACTGCCCAAGAGGCTTGGATGCCTCAGAACTCCAGGGAGAAGACTCCTCAAGAGCATGAGCTACCTTTCCCCCTCCAAAACTTGTGTCCCTGTGTTCCCCAGCTGGCCCGTTGCCTCTGCCCACTGCCTGAAGACCCTGGGATTGAGGAAGGAGGGCCCGCTGAGCCAGGAGAGACAGCCGACTTGCTGCCTGGTTTTGGGGAACAGTGCCCCCGGTCTAGCAGAGAAGAACTTAGGCCCCACTAATTCAAGATTCATATGCTCTGGTTAGATTGCTCTATCTCCCAGCTTGCTGGAGAGTCAGCTCTCGGGTTCTACGTTCTCTTAGGGAGTGTGTGTGTATGCAGAATGAGTCTACCTAAGTGTCTTGTTTCCCAATAGGTATGTTGCCTTTTCTTCTATTAGGTCCAACTGTTTCAGAGCAGGGGCCATGAATGAATAAATAAGATTTTACCTGTAAACTATCTATACTTGAACTCCAGAATTTACTTAAATATTTATTGAGTGCTTCCCATGTGCAAGGCCTTCAAAAACACTTATGGTTTTGCCCTAGCTGGTTTTGCTCAGTGGATAGTGTTGGCCTTCGGACTGAAGGGTCCTGGGTTCAATACTGATCAAAGGCACATGCCCTGGTTGCAGGCTCGTAGGAGGCAGCCAATTGGTGATTCTCATCATTGGTGTTTCTTTCTCCATCTCCCTTCCTCTCTGAAATCAATACAAATATATTTTAAAAAACCCCACTTATGGTTTTAAAAGACTTATGTAATTATTAACTAAAATCCAAAGCAGAAGGCAGTCTGTATCGAAGATTAAAACAATGCTATGGGAGCCGAAACCGGTTTGGCTCGGTGGATAGAGCATCGGTCTGCCGACCGAAAAGTCCCAGGTTCGATTCCGGTCAAAGGCATGTACATTGGTTGCGGGCACATCCCTGGTGGGGGTTGTACAGGAGGCAGCTGGTCGATGTATCTCTCTCATATCGATGTTTCTAGCTCTCTATCTCTCTTCCTCTCTGTGAAAAATCAATATATTTAAAAAAATGCTATGGGAGCAAAGAGGGAGAAGCAATTAATTCTGACTTGGGATAATGGGAAAGGCTTTATTGAAAGATGCAGCACTGAAACTGGCCTTAGCAAGAGGAAGATTTGGTGCTATGGAAAATGCATCAGAAGAGTTTTTCAGCACAGGTATCCAGCTCAAGAAAAAACAAACAAACATAAGTTGTACATAGTACAAGATGATTTGAGGGATTTCCAGCTTCTCAGTGGTGATGAAGCCAAATTATGGCAATATAGGGGAAGCAAGGGAAGGGACATTCATTGACAAGTCCAAATATAGGACTTCTCCCCATGCATGCACCTCACAGAGCATTAAAAACTAACAAACAGCAGAAAACGGTTTGGCTCAATGGATAGAGTGTCGGCCTGCAGACTGAAAGATCCTGGGTTCGATTCCGGTCAAGGGCATGTACCTTGGTTGCGGGCACATCCCCAGTAGGGGGTGTGGAAGAGGCAGCTGATCGATGATTCTCTCTCATCGATGTTTCTAACTCTCTATCCCTCTGTAAAAAGTCAATAAAATATATTTAAAAAAAAAGAATGATCACATTCACTTCTACTAGGCTTTATAAAAAACAAACAAAACAAATAAACATATAAAAACTAACAAACAAAAAAATGATGAGAGAGAATCATTGATCAGCTGCTACCTGCACACCCCTTCATGGGAATCGAGACTGCCACCCCGGCATGTGTGCTGACTAGAATCTTACGGTGACCTCTTGGTTCATAGGTGGACGCTCAACCATTGAGCGGGGCCACCCCGACATTCCTTCCACTGGGCCAGCTCCCCCTCCACCTCTCCACTAGCGGGCCGCCCTGCCTCTCCAGCTCGCCAAGGTGGACCTCCAGGTCAGAGCGCTCCTTCCATCAGCCCCGAGGGCCCAGATGTCCCGCCCACGTGGGCCCGGGCTCCGCCCTAGGTCCCTAAGGCCCGCCTCCCCGTGGGGGTGGGGAATGGCTCTACTCTAGGCCTTTCGGTTTGTGTGGGCGGCGGGCCTGCCGCGGGGAGGGTGGGAGCTGCTGCAGCCGCTCACGGTAGGTGGGGTCGTGCTCCAACCGGGACCAGAGCCGGGCCGAGCGGCGCGGGGCTCCTCCGACCCTGCGCGCTGCCGCGGCCACGGGCGCTTTGTCCCCGGAGGGGCCCGCGCGGCCCACGCTCCCGGCCCGACCTCCCGGGGTGGGCGGGGCCTCGGGGCCGCGCACGCGCACAGTCCGCCTCCCGGCCTCGAGGCGGGGTCGGGGGGACAGGTCCTGGGCGGGCTGCTTTGTCGCATCAGGCAGCGGGTGGCTGGCTTTGTTAGCCCCTGAGGGGTCCGAGCCGCGCCGCAGTGCAGCCGAAGATGTAGAAACGCTAAGGCGGACGGCGGAGGCCCTTACAGCGAGGGCGCCGGGCGCGGCTCCCGGGCTGGGGCTGCAGTCTCTGGAGCGAGGGTTCGCCCCTCCCACAGGAGCGGGGCGTGGCCCAGCCCAAGAGCCGCCGGGGCCTTGCTGCCCTCTGCTGGTTGGCGAGGGAACTGCATCGAACTGCAGGCCGAGGGGCGGGGCTTGGTGCAAATCCGCCTTTCGCGGTGACCTCACCTTGCTGTTGGCTCTGGGTGCACCCTCACTTCCTTCAAGAATAATGAAAGGGTCTTCCGGGTGGCTCTGTGGTTGAGCTTGGACCTATGAACCAGGAGGTCAGGGTTGGGTTCTTTTTTTTTTTTCTTTTTTAATATATTTTATTGATTTTGTACAGAGAGGAAGGGAGAGAGATAGAGAGTTAGAAACATCGATGAGAGTCATCGATCAGCTGCCTCTTGCACACCCCCTAATGGGGATATGCCCGCAACCAAGGTACATGCCCTTGACTGGAATCAACCCGGGTCCTTCAGTCCCCAAGCCGACGCTCTATCCATTGAGCCAAACCGGTTTCGGCAAGGGTTGGGTTCTATCAGGGCACATGTCGGGTTGCTACTGGATCTCCAGTTGGGGGGCATGCAGGAGACAGCTGATTAATGATTTTTAAAAAAATATATTTTATTGATTTTGTACAGAGAGGAAGGGAGAGAGAGTTAGAAACATCGATGAGAGAGAGTCATCGATCAGTTGCCTTTTGCACACCCCCTATTGGGGATATGCCCACAACCAAGGTACATGCCCTTGACCGGAATCGAACCCGGGACCTTCAGTCTCCAAGCCGACGCTCTATCCATTGAGCCAAACCAGTTTTGGCTGATTAATGATTCTTTATCATCATTGATGTTTATCTCTCTCCCTCTCCCTCTCTGAAGTCAATAAAAATATAAAAATATATTTAATAAACGGGAAAATCTGGTTAACTTGAGGGTTAAAGGCGACCTTGAAGAAAAGAAAAAGGTGGGATAGAGAACCTCAGACCCAACAGGATGTTGATGGCCGGGGGGTGGCGCTAACTATCTCAGACCTTTTTATGGGGCCTGTTGACCCTGGCCACACTTTAAGCTCCTCCCCTACCTCCAAAACAAAACTTCACACAAGCTCCACAGTTTGATGTTCCTGAGCTTCAGGGCTTTCTGAAGTGACCGGCCAGGATAACCCAATTTTGGTGAATCAGACAGTACGCTGTAGGTAGTGCCACTATGGGAGGGAAGGGTTTGGCGACTTCACTGTGTCTGTGACCTTTGTCAATGAGTTCTGGTACAGTGAGGAGTAGCTTAATCATTCCAAGATCTTTTCTTCCCGGGAGGAGCAGCATGGTAGGCAAGGTGACTGATGTACCATTCAAGAAACAAATTTTGAAGCTGCTGCAAAAGAAAGTCACAATATTTCATTTGTCTACCCACAAGAATATTGGCTTTGACTGAGATGGAAATGATTGGAGCAAACCATGTTAACTTTGTTAATGAAACCCAAGGAATTTTCTTAATATTCTGAGGCGCCTCCCCCCTCCCCATTTTACTTTGTATTTATATTCTGAAATGAATGAAGTGGGTGTTCATCTCTAACCCTGTGATATACTCTGTCTTGTATTCATGACGTCTTAGTCTTTCAGGTTCTTCTTGAAATGGGATTTGAGCTTTCGTGTTTGCTCTGGACACAATGTTTATTTGCTTTTTATTTGTGTGTCATTGATTCCTTTGAGAATTTGTCAATAGCTGTGGACTTTTTCTCCCTGAATGAATATATGCATGTATGCACAAATTTTGCATGCAATTACAGAGGATTCACATGCATAGATTCTAGATTAAGAATCTGTCTTAGGGAATAGATATTTATATTTTACATATATCATCTATTATATTTGACATTATATTGTATATATTTATAGAATATGTATTTCTGTTCAGTGAATATATATTTTGAGAGCTTCTAGAGTTTTGTTTTTAGATAAGGATCAAATAATTTGAATTTTCTCTGGTGACACATGATTTATGATGTTTTCTGAGACAAGAACTATCCATTCTCTTCTAGAAGTTTTGGGAAAAGATAACTTTGACATATTTCTTAGGAATGTGATAAATATGCAACAAGAATGGTTTAGGTTTCCACATTAAGTTATATTATTAAAAAGCAAAAATACTAATACCAGTATGCTGAGGCTTAAACACTATTGCAGAAAGAGATATTTTATGCCCTCTAGGAACTTAATATAGAAAAAAATTCCTCAAAATTCTAAATAGATTTTTAGTGGCAAAGAGGTACTAAGATTGGTGCTCAATTGGTTATATACTGGGGTTGGGGAGCTGGGGTGATGAGTGGGGTAGAATAATAACCTATGTTTTCTGTTTTATTAGGGAGGAATTCCATGAGACTTATTTGATATTGAACTTTCTGCTGGTCTTCTCTGCCCCCAGGCCTATAATAAAGTCTGCTGATTAAGACTTTCCTGCAAATGGAAGAACTGGAGCAAGGCCTATTGATGCAGCCATGGGCATGGCTACAGCTTGCTGAAAACTCCCTCTTGGCTAAGGCTTATATCACTAAGCAGGGCTATGCCTTGCTGGTTTCAGATCTTCAAGAGGTGTGGCACGAACAGGTGGATGCAAGTGTGGTCAGCCATCGAGCCAAGGTAAGTGCGAAGGGAAGTACTGCTGTGGTAATGGGTATAGTTTATGTCCTACGGATGGCCAGGGGACATTAACATCAACCAGCTTGCTAGCCTTGCAGTTGTCAAGGAAGGTTGAGTCAGGTTTAGATAATTCCATTTAATGTCTTGGTGCTTCTACCGATAGCCCTAGGATCTCTCCACAGGGTTTCTGTATTTAATTTATTGTATGTGCTGCATACAGTACAAGGCAGAATTGTGAAGTAGGCCAGTTGATCTCTCTTCTCATGCCTCTGTCTTCAAGTTAATCAGAGCTTTCGTTTGAGGTTATTTATGAAGGAGTCAGTTTCCTCTTAGCACCCTCACTATACAACTCCTGCCACCTTTTTAGGAGCTGAACAAGCGCCTGACTGCTCCCCCTGAGGCTTTTCTCTGTCATTTGGATGATTTGCTTCGCCCACTGTTGAAGGACATTGTTTGTCCTGGAAAAGCTACCTTCTCCTGTGAGCGTGTGGCGGGGGCACTGATGTTACAGGTGCGGAGTGAGCTCTCTGGTCTCCCCTTCCATTGGACTTTCCACTGTGTCCTGGCTAGCCCTTCCTTGGTAAGTGAAATTCAAACACGGGGTAAGGGACGGGACGGCTAGCTCCTTTTTGGAATGATTTTAATTGAATTTCTTGGGACATTTTCAATCCTGTTTTATATACAGAATTTACCTATTTTGTTTAAAACTCCTGTAACTTTTGCCGGGACCGGTTTGGCTCAATGGATAGAGCGTTGGCTTGGGGACTGAAAGGTCCCGGGTTCGATTCCGGTCAAGGGCATGTACCCTGGTTGCGGGCATATCCCCAGTAGGGGGTGTGCAAGAGGCAGCTGATCGATGACTCTTTCTCATCGACGTTTCTGACTCTCTATCTCTCTCCCTTCCTCTCTGTTCAAAATCAATAAAATATATTAAAAATAAAAAAATAAAAAAAATAAAACTCCTGTAACTTTTTCTAAGGAACACCAGGGGGCATTGTTCCCTCAATAATGCTTGTCCTGGGAGCAAAACATTTGAGAAGTCCAAATGATGGTTAATCTCATTTTGCACCACACAGCCCTAGAAACTCAGAATAGTGAGATTGGGGAGGCAGTTCTCCTTGGAGGCGGATGAACTCTAACATTTTTTTCTTTTAAAAGAATAATGATGTTACAATTGAAAATATCTAAAGAAAGAACTATTCTAGGCCAGTTCCTCTAATTGGGGAGCTTCAATAAGAGGTAATAGTTTTCTGAGTGAAATGAGTCTTGGTTGGCTGTGGGAGGAGTGAGTATTGAACAGTTGATTAGTGATTATGTTTTAATGTAAAATGAAATAATTATTTTTACAAGAAGAACAATGCCATCGCAGGGAAATCCCAGGACCTGAGGAAACTTTATAGGGAAAAAGTTAGAGCCAGTGGACACTGGCTAGGACGTAGGTGGATACTATTTCAGGTTCATGTGTGTGTCTGTGAGGTCACACAGTCATAGTTTTTGTTTGTTACTCATTGTTGTGATAGCTTTTAAATTTTTTTGAATGAGTGATTCATGAAAGGACAAACATTTCAGACATTTAAGGATATACAGTGGAAAAAAAAAATAGGTCTTTTTACGCCCTTTCCCAGTCTCTCATTTTCCTTCTCTAAAGTAACTACTGATATCAGCTTCTTACGAATTTTTTAAAAATATCTTTATTGATTTCAGAGAGAAAGAGAGAGGGAGAGAAAGAAACATGATGAGCCGAAACTGGTTTGGCTTAGTGGATAGAGCGTCGGCCTGGGGACTGAAAGGTCCCAAGTCCGATTCCCTTAAAGGGCATGTACCTTGGTTGCGGGCACAACCTCAGTTGGGGGGGTGCAAGAGGCAGCTGATCGATGATTCTCTCTGATCGATGTTTCTAACTCTCTATTCCTCTCTTCCTCTCTGTAAAAAATCAATAAAATATATATATTAAAAGAAACATGATGAGAGACCCCTCCCCCACTGGGGATTGAGCCCGCAACCTGGGCATATGCCCTTGGCCGGAATCGAACCTGGGACCCTTCAGTCTGCAGGCTGACCCTCTATCCACTGAGCCAAACCAGCGAGGGCTCTTGTGAATTCTTTAAAGAAAGTTATATATAGGTACATATACAGTATATGTATGTACGTATGTTTATGTACACACAATCAAATATTATCTGGGTATATGTATGTGTTTTCACAAATGACAGCACACTCTTTACACAGTTCTTTGCTTTTTTCACTTAATTGTGTAGAACTTAGAAATCACACATCACAATACATTTAGTCAGTCAGGGTATTATAGGCCTGGGGGCAGGAAAGTAGGAGAGTACCTGTTTCCTCTCTACAACATAGTGTATTCACATTAATGATTTAATAGTTATCAGGTCTCTGCAGGATATTATGGAATATATAAAGCTTCAGGTCTCTGTTTTCCAAGTCTGATCCTATTTTCACTCTGGCCAACCTCTCTTATCTTCTCCTCCTTTCCACTCTGTATTCTTTCTAGTATCTAATGTAATTCTTTTTGTTGTTTAAATATATATTTTCCAATGTATTTCTTGGTATTCCATACTTTGACTTTTAAATGTGTCTCCTCTTTGGCCATTTTATAATTCATAGGACTCACATGCCAAGTTTTTCTTCTTTTTCTTTTTTGGTGTGTGTGTGTGTGTGTGTGTGTGTATGTGTGTGTGGAAAAGCAAAGACCATAGGCTTTTTTTTTTTTAATATTTTATTAATTTTTTACAGAGAGAAAGGGAGAGGGAATAGAGAGTTAGAAACATCGATGATGAGAGAAACATCGACCAGCTGCCTCCTGCACATCCCCTGGGGATGTGCCCACAATCAAGGCACATGCCCTTGACCGGAATCGAACCGGGGACCTTTCAGTCCACAGGCCAACACTCTATCCACTGAGCCAAACCGGCTTTGGCAAGACCACAGGCTTTGGAACCAGCAGACCTGAATTTGTAACTCAGCCTTGCGACTTTCATTACTTATATGATCTAAGATAAATTACTGAATTCTTATGAGTCTCAGTTTCTTTATCTGTAAAGTGGAGATACCAATCATAACCTTACTATGGAGTTATGTGGATTAAATAAAAGGATATATGGAATATTACTTAGCCTTAGCATTACAGTGGACCTGGGAGAGCAAACACTCCCAACTTCATAATTTTTATTTTTTAGCAAGGATTGGGACCATGAGAGTACTTGGGAGTAAGCCATTTTACATCTAGGTAATCCCAGAGCCAGAACTACCCTGTTTCCCCGAAAATAAGACAGTGTCTTATATTAATTTTTGCTCCCAAAGATGCGCTAGGTCTTATTTTCAGGGGATGGCTTATTTTTCCATGAAGAAGAATACGGTATATTTATTGTTAAATGAAAGTAAAGGAAATTTATTACCTGTATACGGTACGGTAGTACGGTAGTTGTCAACATAAACCAGACAAACTGTGAATCCTACAGTATCAAGAATTTACTCATTTATTCAATGACAATCATGTCATCATCTTCTGGAACATCATCATAACAAACCAATTCCTGAATTTCCTGGTGAATTTCTTGTGACTACATTTCTTTTAGAATCAGTGGACCAAATCTCTCATGTTTAGCCTGGGGGGGGGTGTCTTATTTTTGGGGTGATGCCTTATATTTCACTCAGAAGGAAACTTGTAAGTAGATCTTATTTTCGGAGGATGTCTTATTTTCGGGGAAACATGGTAGAACCGAGGTCTCCTAATTCCAAGTCTGTAACCCTTTTCACTATATCCAGTCCTAATACGATTCATCTTGAGATTGATAACTGCCATTCTGCTCTCCTGCCTATGACTTATGAACATTTCTATGAGAAATCTGAAGACATTGTAGGAAGTGATAAACAGCTTTCCCTCTGGAGAAGATTGCCAACTCCTGCTTCTGTGTCCACACACTTCCTGATCTCCTTAGCTCTTGTGCTCTTTGAGGGCATAGACCTCATGGGGTCAGAGCACATATTAGGCACACAGTAGGTATTTGTTGCACTAACTTGTTGAACTGCATCTCTTCCTGTATTGTTGTCTGGAAATGAAGGGGGTGGGGTGGGTGTGCCCCTGCCCTCTAAAAGCATTTCAAGATTTTTCCTTGTAGTGTCTGTGGATTTGCTTTGAAATCCATTCCTTCAGCCGCAATGCCTTGTTCTGATTAACTGATCTAAGTTAGTGTTCATCTAACTTTGAAGTGAGTTATACCCCAATGATTCAGAGTGATGTAACTCAAGCCTATGAAATATTTTAGAAGTTAAAATATTTACTGATAAAAAGCTCCCCCATCCCTTGCTGTATAGACCCTGGAGTCCAGTAGATCATTTTAGTTGCCTGGTATAGCATTACCATGTTTAATTAGACATGGTAATGATTAAAACCTGTTTCTCATCATGTTTCGTGTTGTTATCCTTACTAATACTAAACAAATTGCTGTTAAGGTGGAGGGAGGCTGCTTAATTAACTTTAGGAGTTTCTGTTATTTGAAGGCTATCACCAAATGGCTGGGGATGCTGCTTGTGCAATTACTTTCTATTAAATATATTTTTGTTGATTTTTTTAGAGAGAGAGGAAGGGAGAGGGGTAGAGAGATGGAAACATTGATGAGAGAGAAACATTGATCTTCTGCCTCCTGCACACCCCCGACTGGATCGAGCGGGCAACCCAGGCATGTTCCCTGACCTCTTGGTTCATGAATTTACACTCAACTGCTGAGCCACACTGGCTGGGTAGCAAGTGCAGTCAGTTCAGCCCACCAAATATTGATTTGCTTTCATACAACTATTCACCTGTTTTTCTTCCTGATTGATCTTGAACAGAACCAAAGTTACCAAAAACAATTCCTAGGAAAGAGGGTTGGGTCTAATGCAGATAAATTTTCCCAAAGCATAACTGCCACATTCTGAACAGTACTTCCTGGAAGCTAAAGTTTACACTAAGGATCTGTGCTGGCAGACAGCAGCAGTTGGGAGGTGCTGTGCAATGGAGAGAAGTGACTGGTACATATAACTGGACTTGGTTTCTGGCCTTCCACTTTGTGCCAGTGCCCCAGCATTTCTTGGGTCCCAACGCTGGTACAAAAGCTGCTGGCACTAACGCCTAACACCTAACACCCCCCCTTCCCAATGAGAAAAATGTGGAAAAAGCCCTTTTCACTCCAGTTGAGCCACAATACAATTGGAGTGTTTTAGTAGGAAGTTTTACTAGAAAATTAATGGAAAACAAAAACACAAAAATCTGCAGAGTTCCGACTTCTCATCCTGATTGAATAAGTCTGGCTTTCACATTTAAAAAAATATATATTTATTGATTTCAGAGAGGAAAGGAGTGGGAGAGAGAGATAGAAACATCAATGATGAGAGAGAATCATTGATTGGCTGCCTCCTGCACACCCCGTACTAGGGATTGAGACCACAACCCAGGCATATGCCCTTCACCGGAATCGAACCTGGGACCCTTCAGTTTGCAGGCTGACGCTCTATCCACTGAGCCAAATCAGCTAGGGCATGGATTGCACATCTTATAGGAAACCCCCAGACCGTTTCCCCACTTCAAGCCTGTGTAGGGTATCTTGTCTAAAAGTTCTCTGTTTTAGATTGAGGGCTGGGGTTGGTACACTATGGCCAGCAGGCCAACTCTGGCGTGCTGCCTATTTTTGTAAAGTTTTGTTGGAACCCAGCCACGCTCATTTATTACATGTTGTCTGTGGCTCCTTTCATGCTACCAAAGCAGAGTTGAGTATTGCGACAGGGACTTATGGGCCGCAGAACCGAAAATATTGACTCTCTGGCCCTTACAGAAAATGTTTGCTGACCTCTGGTCTAGGGCATTTCTTAGTGCCTCCTTCAGCTCATCTCCTTGGGGGAAGGGAAAGAAACTCTGATAACATCCTCGAGCCACAAATAGATTATTGATTTTAGTTGTTTTCTTTGGCTAAGGCTTTCATCTTTCAAAGACTAATGGACACTTTGCGATGGCGAATTAAGTGATAATTTTGTATTGCTGTACATTATCACATGAGAGCATCATCCCAGCTGCACTGCAGTATGGCTGTGCTTGCGGCCTTCTTACCTCTTATTAAGACCAAGGTGTGTTGGTGGTTTATATCCTCCTAGGTTGGCCTCTTAGTGACTGTCTTGCTTCTCTGACAATGGCCTTAGACTTTGTGGCATTGGTGGAAACAGATAGAAAGTCTGGGCTCATTCTGGGCTATCATCAGCCCTGGAATGACTCTTCATTGGTGTCTGGATCAAATTCGACTCTGAAGTCTCTCTACTTTCTGTGATTTTTGTCTCCTTTTATACTCCACCTAGCATACTCTGTTGTAGCCACAATTACTTTCTTGAAGGTTAGTTGGCTCTTCTGCTTTTGTGCTTCAGTCTCTGCTAAAAACTGCTGCACCACATCCTTCTCTTGAAATCACACTTCTAGGTAGCTATTCATGAATATTCTTTTTAAAAAAAAAAAGTTTTTATTGATTTTTAGAGAGAGATATAGGGAGGGAGATATATAGAAAGAAACATCAATCAGCTGCCTCTCTATTGTGGATCGAGCCATCAACTCAATCATGTGCCCTGATGGGGAATCAAACGACGAAGCTCTTGGTTCATGGGTTGATGGTCAACCACTGAGCAACACCAGCTGGGTCATGAGTATTTTTTATTCTTCCCATCTTTTTTTGTCTGTGACTCAAAGAAAATCCTTGGACTTATTTAATATACTTATTTAATTATTATATTTGTGTATACATTCATGTAAATGGATTGCTTGCCTATGACACTTTAAGTTCCTGTGAAAACATTATTCTTCAGTATTTTTTTTTTCTAGTTCCTAATGCAGTATTAGGGAGTATTTTATATGTAGCTCTTGGCTAATTGCTATCTCTTCTATGAAAGGTCTCCCAACATTTGATTCGTCCTCTGATGGGCACGAGTCTGGCATTGCAGTGCCAAGTGAGGGAGCTGGCAACATTGCTTCGTATGAAAGATCTAGAGATCCAGGACTACCAGGAGAGCGGGGCTACGCTGAGCCGAGGTGAGAGGACATTCTCTGAGATACTGAGTGGGAAATGGTACAGATAATCAAAGGTGCCCATGAAAAAGTGGGGGAGGGGGAAGAGGAGCTTTATTTGTATCAGAGAGGGCTTCCCCGAGGGTGGGCACTAGGTTCTGACCAAAACTAGAGACTTGATGCTTGGTGACACCTCTCTTTGCCTGGAACACCTGGCTGGCACCCAACTGGCCAATAGAAGCTGTGACTAAGTCCAGACATGCTCTAGGCATTGGCAAGGAAAGACTTTGGCTAGGGGCCAGCAGCTATACAAAATTGTACGAGGGCAACATGAACTTGGGACTTTAGGAAATTGCATAGTTCCAACTTCAGAATAAAAATTCAGTTTGACCTTTGTCTTCATGTTGGGAATAACTCCTGGAGCACATGCTGCCACCAAACCTGTTGTTTGTTGCTAGTCACCCTCTTCTCCTCCTGTTTGCCCACACCCTCTCAATCCCTTCTCCCACTGGACTAGGTGAGTCTGGGTATCACATCTTTGTGCTCTTTCCCAAGAAGAAGTTTTGGGCTCTGTTTCCTTTCCATCTCACAGGTAGGAATCTTGGCCTAAGACTCATGTTTCTTTTCTGTATCCCTTCTTATTACAGATCGGTTGAAGACAGAACCATTTGAAGAAAATTCTTTCTTGGAACAGTTTATGGTAGAGGTAGAGTATTTGTTATTTCCTTTGTCCTGTACAACTTGGCTTTACTTCCTTTTTCCAGGTGCCCAACTGGTGACTTGTGTTTGGGTGTTAGGTTGCTTGCATGGTTGGAAAGCCCTTTCTTTGGAAAAGTTGCCTATAGAAAGCCGGATAAAGCTTGAGATGTACATGGGGGAGATGGGGAAAGAAGAGGAAAGAATGTAAAAGGCAAAATGGGCCAATTAACATTCATAAAACATCTCTGTTAAAGTACCTAGGTAATTTTTTTAAAAATATATATTTTATTGATTTTATACAGAGAGGAAGGGAGAGAGATAGAGAGTCAGAAACATCGATGAGAGAGAGTCATCGATCAGCCGCCTCTTGCACACCTTCCACTGGGGATATGCCCGCAACCAAGGTACATTCCCCTGACCGGAATCGAACCCGGGACCCTTCAGTCCCCAAGCCGACTATCCACCGAGCCAAACCGGTCCCGGCACCTAGGTATTTTTAAAAATATATATATTTTATTGATTTTTCACAGAGAGGAAGAGAGAGGGATAGAGAGTTAGAAACATCAATGAGAGAGAATCATCTATCAGCTGCCTCTTGCACACCCCCTACTGGGGATGTGCTGGCAACCAAGGTACATGCCCTTGACCGGAATCAAACCCGGGACCTTTCAATTCGCAGGCTGACGCTCTATCTACTGAGCCAAACCAGTCCTGGCGTACCTAGGTATTTCATTTGGAATTTTCTAACCTTGGAAAGCTTGGTTGCCCAGTTGCTAGATCTTTGCTTGTTAAGATCTGATCACAATTCTGGATTGTGGATCAGTATGGAGGGGGAGGGGTAGTTATTATTACTTGTTGAGGCCTCTTTAACATCCCGCAGAGAGGAAGGTGGAAAGCACAGGGCTACCATTTGGGGACTGTCTTGTGGGCACAGTAGGCTGTGGAAAATCACAGTGTTTATACAAGGGGACTGGCAAAGGAATGAATGGGGAGTAGATAATTGTGGCCTGTCAGAAGCTCCTGCCTAGGTTTCCCTTCTAAGGATTGAGCTTGGCCAAAAGAAACATCTGTTAAATGCTAAACAGGGGGAGTATTATTAATAGTGACCTTTGATAATCCCAGTCAATATTGATCTTCTTCTCTAATGATTCTGGGACTTGGTTGTACGGTTAGTTCCTCAGTATTATTGCCCTGTTTTCTAATTGTATATGTTACTCAAGTTGGTACTTTCTTATGTAAGTAAATAATGCTACTATAATACTATGTTATATATATACACCATTCATCTTTCTATCTTGTCTTCTAAGTGAATTTGTAAACTCCTTGTGAGTAGGGGCTGTCACTCAAACTTCTTTTGAATCCCAGATTAGTGCTTTCCACAGAGCTAAGCATAAAGCAGGTGTTCTTGAGGTGGGACTTCCTGTTCTGCCTCTGTGTGTTGACTGAGCAATAACTCCATAATGCTTAGGGTCTTAACACTAAGGACAGAAAAAAAATGTGAGTTGAGTGCTAAGTCCAGCAATTGTAACTCTGGAGAAGGAAAGCATATATTGTTAAGTCCTGAAGCAGAAAAGGTTTCAAGTCTTTATGGGGAAAGAGAGACCATTAAACCTAGACTTATAGTAGAGAGAGATTCCCTAGGTCATTTTCTGTCAGATAGCTTCCCTTGTCTATAAGTTTGGTGATAAGGTTAACATAGGCTGGAGCGTACATGGTTCGTACATCAGCCCCTTAGTTAAACAATGCAAAACTTACTCTTAACTCAGCAGAGGGGTCCCTTCCTGATCTAGTGCCTACAACACTGTCCAGCTTGGTTTTTTGACATTTTTCTTTGTGTACCTCATGCTTCAGTCATTTAGAATGACTTTTAATCACCAAAGGTGCTTTTTCTCTAACTTTATAGCCCCATATGCATTGTCCCCTTTGTCTGAATGCCCGATGCCCTGGACTAACTACCTTGTAAATTTCTATTGATTTTATAAAAATATATTTTATTGCTTTTTACAGAGAGGAAGGGAGAGGGATAGAGAGTTAGAAACATCGATGAAAGAGATATATTGATCAGCTGTCTCCTGCACACCCCCTTCTGGGAATGTGCCTGCAACCATGGTACATGCCCTTGACTGGAATCGAACCTGGGACCCTTCAGTCCACAGGCCGATGCTCTCTCCACTAAACCAAACCAGTCAGGGCATCTATTATTTTTTTAAGTGTCAGCTTCAGCCTCTTTAGGAGACCTTTCAGGACTCTCCTTTTATTTATTTATTTATTTATTTATTTATTTATTTATTTATTTATTTAAATATATTTTTATTGATTTCAGAGAGGGAGAGAGAGCTAGAAACATCAATGCTGAGAATCATTGATTGGCTGCCTCCTTGATTGCATGTCCCCTATTGGGGATCGAGTTCACAACCTGGGTATGTGCCCTTGACCCGAATTAAAACCGGGACCCTTCAGTCCACAGGCCAACACTGTATCCACTGAGCCAAACCAGCTAGGGCTAGGACTCTGCTTTTAAAGATAATACTTCATCCCTGCTACTGTGGTACCTTGGTAAAATAATCTCTTCCATGCTGTTGGAGTGGGTAGAAACCTACAGACCTGAATGTGAAAGCATAGAGAGCCCTGGCTGGAGGCTCAGTTGGTTAGTTAGAGTGTCATCCCATACACCAAAAGGTTTTGGGTTTGATTGCCAGTTAAGGCACATGTTTAGGTTTCAGATTTGATCCCCGATTGGGGCATATACAGTAGGCAACTGATTAAATTTTCTCTCTCTTTCTCAAATTCAATTGGAAAAAACAAAACAAATACCCCCCCACCACACACACACACATATCATCGAGTGAGAATAACACACACATACACACATGTACACATGCACACAAACCACAAAAGAAAGCATATAGAATCCAGGTGCGAATCCAAGGAAGGATCTCAGTGTTTTGGAACCAACCACTTCAAGAATACTGGTCCTTTAGGCTTTGGGTGGATATCATCCAAACCTCATAGACTTGTAGAATTTTATTATATTTGCAAATGATCTGAGTGACAGATAGCTGTAGCTTTCCATTTCATGGATTAAGAAATTGAGCCTCTTGACAGTGGATAGAGTGTCAGCCTATAGACTGAAGAGTCCCAGGTTCGATTCCAGTCAAGGGCACAAGCCCAGGTTGAGGGCTCGATCCCCAGCAGGGGGTGTGCAGGGATAGTCAATCAATGATTCTCTCTCATCATTGATGTTTCTATCTCTCTCTCCCCCTCTTTCTCTCTGAAATCAATAAAAATATATTTAAAAAAAAAGAAGAAGAAATTGAGCCTCTCAGAGTTTAAGTGCCTTGCCTAAGGACATAAAACTATAGCTGTATGTTTAGGACCTCCTACATTTCTTGTATAGGATTACTCCTATTTTGTTTTGCTACTTTGGTTGTACATACCAATTAGAGGAGAGTTAAGGGCTAGGATAATGTGGAATTCTTATGACCTCTGGGATTATTGAATGTCCTGCATTGCTGCTAGAGCTGAAAGGTTTCCTAATGGGACTGCAGAATCTCTGATGGCCGCTGCAACTTTTCAGTTACTCTGCTTGCCTGGGGTCCTACAAACAGGACACAGAAGGGTCACGGGGTCACTCAAGACTGAGCTAAAAGGATGTGCCATTAAAATAAGCAACATAGGAAGATAAACAAACCAGGGACAGAGCTCGGGATGAAGGTGCAGGGGGGCCAGGACTGATGTCAGAGGGCCATGTGGTCAGTGCCTGGGGTCTGTCTTCCCTAGTTCGTTGAGACTATTGCTGGATAAGAGGCCATAGAGATAGGGCAAGGGGCAGTAGGACAGGGAGGTTTCTAGAATAAGACCAGGAAAAATATTTAAGGATTGAACAGGGGTTATTTCTCCATATTTAGTCCTTCCCTCTTCCCCTTAGCCCCCAAGAGCCTCTGATCTCTCATTTCCAGGGAGCCCAAGGGGGCCAGTTGATGGTGGCCTAACTAGAGGGGGAATACCTGCAATGTTGATACAAGTCACCTGGATGGAGTGGCTGCTGGCTTGATTCTAAGAGAGGACAAGAGCCCCATATAGAACATTTCCTAGGACTAGGGGTTGAAAGTCACCTTTAGCAGTAGAAGATGAATCAAGGAATTCATCTTGATTCATGACTGTTATTGCATGACAATAGGAACTATGTAAAAGGGGAACTTTAGAATAATTGGGCTGGCACAGCCCACTCTCAGTCTAGTCCACTGGAGGGAGTTCCTTCCCCTGTCCCTGTCCATGCCTTTCTCTCTCCATCTGGTTGCCATCAGCCTATGCGGCTGCTGGCGGGGCTCTTTATTTATTTATCCCAGTGTAATGGGGTGAGGAGGGAGCTGGCCTAAGGCTGGCATTCCGAGGCCAGGCCACTGAGCCACAGGCGGTTTGCATGGGTGTGTGAGTCACTGGGGCTGCATGCTGCTCAAACCAGACTTGGCCAGGCTCAGGGACAGGCAGCCCAAAATAGAGCCCCGCCCTCTGCAGCTGGCAACCCCTGGCTAGGAATCAGCCCTTGACACCAAAACCTAGGCAGTTGCATGAAGTCGGCTTTCTTAGGGAGGCTAGCCTTAACAGAGATAGTCATTTGGAAATTCTCTCCTTTCTCTTCAGAAGAGAGTATTCAACAGAGCAATCACTTCTATTGCTGCATTCTGTGAGACTTAATCTGCTCAGTATAATACTTGAACTAATTTCTACTATAGAGTTTTGGTTATATAACTACAGTTAACATTGATTTGACTCAGCATCCTAAATGTAGCCATGGTCTTTGCGTCCTGTCTAGTTTTAGTTACTATCTTCATCCACTGTCTGGTTCAGCCTGATTCTAGAGTAGATCTTTTCAAGCAATGGAGCTGCTCATTGTAATGAATTTATTGGTTGCCGCTCTTAGGAAGATTATATCAGAGACACCCATTGAAGATGGGGAGTTCTCTATCTTGAAAATTGCTATCCTGTCAGGTTCATTCACAGGCA